CATCACTGGGCCGTGGGGGCCAAGTGGTTAAGGCGTCTGACATTCTGCTACCCCTAAACCCTCCATCACTGGGCCGTGGTGGCCAAATGGTTAAGGCGTCTAACATTCTGCTACCACTAACCCTCCATCACTGGGCCGTGGTGGCCAAATGGTTAAGGCGTCTAACATTCTGCTACCACTAACCCTCCATCACTGGGTCGTGGGGGTCAGACGGTTAAGGCGTCTGACATTCTGCTACCACTAACACTCCATCACTGGGCCGTGGTGGCCAAGTGGTTAAGGCGTCTGACATTCTGCTACCCCTAAACCCTCCATCACTGGGCCGTGGTGGCCAAATGGTTAAGGCGTCTAACATTCTGCTACCACTAACCCTCCATCACTGGGCCGTGGGGGTCAAACGGTTAAGGCGTCTGACATTCTGCTACCACTAACTCTCCATCACTGGGCCGCGGGGACCAAGTGGTTAAGGCGTCTGACAATTTGCTACCACTAACTCTCCATCACTGGGCCGTGGTGGCCAAGGGGTTAAGGCGTCTGACATTCTGCTACCACTAACCCTCCATCACTGGGTCGCGGGTTTAAGGCCTACGTGGGGTAGTCGCCAGGTACTGTTCATAGGTCGGTGGTTTTTCTCCGGGAACTCCAGCTTTCCTCCATCACCAAAACCTGGCACGTCCTTAAATGACACAGCTGTTAAGACGTAAAACATAAACAAACAAACAAAACCCAACCAAACCCAAATAAAAGCATCTTAAGTAAATTTCATACACACGCAAATTGCACCACAACTTCACGGTACTGATCCGTCTTATTTGTTGGGCCCCCGCTCGAAGGCCAGGCTATAATATGATGTCCATTTCAGCCCTGCAGACCATAATGGACTCCTCAAGATCAATGTGTAACGATGTGAACATATTGATGATAAAATGTTTTTTAATTAAATTAATTGTTGCGCTGCGTATATCGTGCTGTTACTGTACCGTCCGCCTTGTCTTACCTTGTTACGTCCATATAAGGTAATTGTTCTGAATATAGGTGTTACATCGTTTTGGTCAGTGGTCAGTCCGGGTGTCTTTGTTACATGTTTTGGGGCGGTTTTTAGTATTCATTCATAGACAGAGCTAAAGGGTGTCTGTAATTTATATCCAAAAATTTGAAGTCTTGAAGCCATTCTCCAGATCTGGTATGTACACATATAGATGTGACAAAGTCTGATTCTGTAATTGGTTTATGTTAAATTATTATATTAATGAGATTTTGGATAAAGTTGCATTTATTATATTGTGAAATCGCACTTTTTAAAAAAATATCAGGATCTTGTTCTCGCGTACATGTATATTCAATCAATACATATAGAGCTCGTTTTAAAGTAATGTATATATGTTTTTTATCAACACTATATAAACTGTAATGTATATGTATCTTTTACAGAGACAATAGAGTTTTCGATAGAGAACGGATACAGATACAGATCTTCATTCTGTGTAAACCCCCGACCCATAGTTGGGTAGGTATTTTAATATTGTATATGATAATGTAAACAAGTGCTAATTGATAAGGATAATTGTATTCAATATATGTATCAGTAATTTGTTTAAGTATTGTAATTTCTACTATTGATTATGATGAAGTCAGTCATTGTAAGATTCAAGTATTATTCCTATTTGGAATGACCTATTGTGTGTGAACGAATTGAATATGTATGTACTGAATGTACATGTTAGGAATCATATGTATGCGCTGTGTTTCATTATGTAATCAATTGTATTGTGTCTTTGTAGGGTTTTTTGATTGATTATGTTCCACATATTGTGAAAATAAACATGTGAATCAAGAATTCTGCGTCAACCTTGACTTTCATTCAACTTTACAAATGCACAGTAGAGCCTACTTAAGTTATATAGGGGTGAAAGGGTTAAATATCAATAACTTACATTAGTTTTAACTTATCTGGAAAATTTATGAACATACACACACATATAGATTTAAGTATCTTACCCTTACTCTGATGTTTCAAGGTAGCATCACATTTTGAGATCAAATGGCGTTTGCTTTTGTTTTCCTGCTGGAGTTGTATAATAAAATGCATAGACATACATTCTTTTTATCAAACAACAGTTTAAGTAGTATATTAAATGAAGTCTGTATTGTGATTCGATGTTCTTATCTACCGCATTATCACAACCTAGTTCGTAGGTCGTCTCAAAGCGGTTAACAAATTTTTATCCGTGCTTATAGGGCCTGTGCAACCAGCCAATATCTTTCTCAACTCCCTGGGGAGTATACAGCCGGTGCTGACATTTCGGCACTGACAGCTAGCATTCAACAATTCTTGTACTGCCCAACCACGTACTCATTTACAGCTGAGTAGACTAGAACAAGCGGAGTAAAGTATCTTGCTCAAAGATACAACACAGTGCCGTGCCGTGCCGTGCCGTGACGTGACGCGACGCGAACCCGCAACCCTTTGGTCACGATCCCGGCGTTCTACCATTAGACTACTATGCCTCCTTAATTAACATGAAAAGGCAAAGCCATAAAAGAGCGTAGCTTTTGGTGATCTCTGATATTTACTGATTAAGAAAACAACTTTCAGAATGAGATAAGATAAACTTTATTTAAAGTCGGCTAGTCGAGGAATAACAATAAAACACAATCTTTAATGAGATTAAGACAGTCATAACAATAGGGAGACCGGGGCAAGTTCGGTCCTTTTATTATTATTTAAGTCCGTTCTAGGAAGTATGGCAGCACGTCCGTTTTTGAACATTATTTAACTGTCCTGTCGGAAGATTGGATGGCCGAACGAGACTCGCCATGGGGTACATTGTAAGTTCTGACAGGCATTCGGGTAAGTTCGGCCCTCATTGGAATCAGCATATTTATGACGTCATAAAGCATGCAACGTCAGATTTTACTGCAAATTTTATGACTTTTTATGTGTTAAATACATGGGCCGACCTTGCCACGGTATTATAAGTCGAACCTGTTCGGGCCCAAATTGATATTTCAATAGATTCTTATCGCACAGCAATATGGTAATGAGTGATTGGCTTGGCTTTTATGTGTTATCATTTGAAGCTGTCAGTGTCTTACACGTTTGACTGTAAAATAGTAGCAATCCCGTTTCAAAAAGTTCGCATAACTAAAAGGGAGATCATGATATTATTTCTACCCTCTCAAAAGTAATTTTCTCCTGTTAAGTCATTTCACTTTAGAGTTTTCCTCGCCATATTTTCGTAGTTGAATGTCCAGCCAACTAAACTGCTAAGATCCTTAAACTTGTAAATATTAGCTCAAAAACAAAAAAATATCAGGGATGGCCGAACTTGCCCCGGTCTCCCGTATGTAGATTATTTTTTTATATCATTGATGATTGGTAAAAATGTATTCACACTATGATTTTTGCATCACTGACGCCATTTTCTTCCAGTCAAATCTAAAGTAGATATTTGTTCTTGTGCGTAACGTATATCATGGGTCGGGTGGCGCAGTGGATAGCGAGCTCGTCTTCACCAAGATGGCCGGATTCAATCCCGGTCACCTGCCCGATCACTCCAGCTTCCTCCCATATTAAGAATTAAAACCTCTGCGTGCTTCCGTCAGGGCACAAAAAGAATGGTTGAGATAAGCTGGGGGAAAACTGTTTGGTATTTGCTATAGAAAAAGCGCATATTACATATTTGACGATTAGTCTAATTAAAGGTTAAAAAAATTAAGGCAAGGTGTAGTAAGGGGAAGCAACTCTGTTTACGCACGCATGTGTTACCATTAAAGAGCTTCGCTCGGGAGCCTTCGGCGCCCGAGAGCTACACTCTTATCACTAGTTAATGAACATTTAACATAGCTTATAGTGAATAACCTTTAAAGACAGGTGAAATAAACAAAATATATTTAAAATGGCGTGTAAACATACATGGACAACATTGAAACTTAAAGAAGATATCTACAATTAAGTAAAAGAGGAGGATAGGAACGTAAAGAAAAATGACACCAAAACAAAACGGAAACCAGATGCTGCAAAAGGAATAATCCTAAGAGTTGAAAACTGTTTCTGTTTCAAGGTGTTTTTTTGTACTTTGGTCTAAATTAGACCTGTAAACACATCGATAGTTCATTCACTTATTTTTCTACGGAGATATTCAAATTTATCTAACTTGAACGTGAGCATGCATGCTTACATATAACTGATGATGGTGACCTGTCACGGCTTGGAGTAAAGTGCAGGACTATAATATAACCGATAGCCAAGGTTTCCTATCAGCGTTACTAAATGACACGAATTCACAAGAGGCTCTCAGTAAGTCTTGACCTGATGACATATATCATTTCCTGTTTATTTTAGATCACATAACCATGATTTTTACGAACTGCATTCGTAAACAATAAACAACTTTTATTAGACTACCTCGTTGGTCATTAAACCTATTTTTCGGAGTTTTCTGGAGAATGGGTGTTGTTGATCTGTATCCTACTTAGCCAGAGGTTCCTTGAGAACGACCCCTGTTTTTCTACATTAGACATTTCAACATACACTTAAGATTTATTCGGTCATCATCGCGACCTCCTTTTTAGCTATTATATATGAGTGTTTGCTATGTCCAAAAGATCTACAGCATGATTTATATGCTTTTTCCCCATCGATTGGAGACATGAGTCTGACACGTATTTTGCGGGAAACGCTTACTCTCCCGAAACACCAGGGTACCTTCTTCTTTTATTTAGGGCGTGATCGTCAATATGGTGTCTTTCTTTTTTGCTTTTGAATTTCACTTTTTTGTCATGTGCATTTTATTAACAAGATAAATTATAAGGCCTATTGGACCTCTATATTGAACTTACGTGATAGAGGTCTATTGAACTTAAAGTGACAGATATGTTACATTACAAACTTGTATGACCAGACATATATTAATCCACGTACCTACTGTATAATTTTTTTAAATCATTGTTCTGCATTAAATAATATCTAATGAATGTTCCACTGACCGAAAGCCTGGACAGTCACGAGGGGTTGTCGGTACTTACCTGGTGTTGTCGGTACTTACCTGGTGTTGTCGGCATTGTTCTGAACAGTTACGAGGGGTAGTCGGTGCCTACCTGGTGTTGCCGGTACTTACCTGGTGTTGTCTGCATTGTTCTGTGGTGTCTCAATAGAGAAAATGAAGACAAAGCAAGAAAATGGACTGGAATCATCAAAGGACAAAGTGAATGTTTTAGCGGAAGCGAGTCAGCTAAAATGGTCGTCACGGCAGGAGTTCATCATTTCTCTCCTCGGTTATTCGCTCGGTCTGACAGACATATGGAGGGTACCCTACTTAACCTACAGAAATGGAGGAGGTAAATCTATATAGGGGCAATGTACCTCACTTACGGGACAGGTGAGGTAAATCTATATACGGGCACTGTACCTCACATACGGGAAGGAGGAGGTAAATCTATATAAGGGCACTGTACCTCACTTACGGGATGGAGGAGGTAAATCTATATAAGAGCACTGTACCTCACTTACGGGATGGAGGAGATAAATCTATATAAGGGCACTGTACCTCACTTATGGGACGGAGGAGATAAATCTATATAACGGCACTGTCCCTCCCTTATGGGACGGAGGAGATAAATCTATATAAGGGCACTGTACCTCACTAATGGGACGGAGGAGGTTAATCTATATAAGGGCACTGTGCCTCACTTACGGGATGGGGGAGGTTAATCTATATAAGGGCACTGTACCTCATTTACAGGTCGGAGGAGGTTAATCTATATACGGGGCACTGTAACTCACTTACGGGTTGGAGGAGGTAAATCTATATACGTGGCACTGTAACTTACTTGCGGGACGGAGGGGGGGGGGGGGGGGGGGTGTGTGTGTGTGTGTGTGTGTGTTAAATCTATGTACGGGCACTGTACCTCACTTACGGGATGGAGGAGGTAAATCTATATAAGTGCACTGCACCTCACTTACGGGATGGAGGAGGTAAATCTATATACGGGCACTGTACATCACTTACAGGACGGAGGAGGTAAATCCATATAAGGGCACTGTAACTTACTTACAGGACGGAGGAGGTTAATCTATTTAAGGGCACTGTACCTCACTTACGGGATGGGGGAGGTTAATCTATATAAGGGCACTGTACCTCATTTACAGGTCGGAGGAGGTAAATCTATGTAAGGGCACTATACATCACTTACGGGATGGAGGAGGTTAAACTATATAAGGGCACTGTACCTCATTTACAGGTCGGAGGAGGTAAATCTATATAAGGGCACTGTACCTCACTTACAGGAAGGAGGAGGTTAAACTATATAAGGGCACTGTACCTTAGTTACGGGATGCAGGAGGTTAATCTATATAAGGGCCTGTACCTCAAGGGACGAAGAACGTTACTATATGAAGGGTAATGTTCCTCTCTTACGGGATGGAGGAGGTTAATCTATATAAGGGCACTGTACCTCACTTACGGGACGGAGGAGGTTAATCTATATAAGGGCACTGTACCTCACTTACGGGATGCAGGAGGTTAATCTATATATGTGCACTGTATCTCACTTACGGGACGGAGGAGGTTAATCTATATAAGGGCACTGTACCTCACTTACGGGATGCAGGAGGTTAATCTATATAAGGGCCTGTACCTCAAGGGACGAAGAACGTAACTATATGAAGGGTAATGTTCCTCATGTAGATGGGTACTGCACACAACCTATAGGAGTTCTTACCGACAGGGATGATAGAGGTAATTGTATATATAGGGTACTGCACCCTACCAATAGGAGTTCTTACCGACAGGGATGGTAGAGGTAATTGTAAAAGATATTTAACTTAACATACAGGAGTTCTAACCTACATAGGGTGGCGGTTAATTCTATATATATATGTAGGGGCACTTTTTAAAAATAAGTCTGGAGGTAAGTGATGTGGCGGATACCAAGGCTTCCTTTTGAAAATATGAAAGTAAATATTCAAATAGCTATGAGGACGCTCTGCTTTCATATTCAAGATACATTTTTATTCGCGATTAAAAATGTTCTAAATTCTTGTTTCCTGCTGCTTAAGCGGAAAAACTTGGCGAGTTTGACTTGAATAAAGATTGATTATTGTATTATATATAATATAATGAGTGATACATGTTACATGCTATGTAATTATATGGACAATTGTATTACTTCATACCCGTAATGACGCCTAAAGCCCTCTCTTATTCAGATACATATTATAACTTAACAGGTGCGTTCTTGATTCCGTACATATTCTTCATGCTGGTCTGCGGGATTCCACTTTATTTCCTGGAAATCATGACGTCACAATTTTCTGGGAAGGGAACCTGGCGTGTATGGGATTTTTGCCCATTGTTCAGAGGTAAGTTTCTAAAAAAAATCCAGTTTTGTAAAAAAGAAGAATAGTTTTCGTTTCCAGTTTTAGCTAACTAAAGAAGCATCAACACAGAATGAGGCCACATGCGGAACAAAGAGATATCGCATTAAATNGGGGGGTGTTTAGTCATTTTCTACGGGAGAGGACATATTCAGTGTAGCTATCGGGAAAAGGTGAATTAGCCGCCAAATGATTTTGTCAGTATCTGACCTGCGTGAAGACAGATTTTCCGTGTTAGTTCCGTTAGAATATTGCAGGTGTCATATCACGGGTGCCATAAATGGTTCACTTCCGGTGCCGCCTACTTTTGTAGTTTGTCTGCTGCTAGGTTTCAGCTGACTTTTTGCATCATATCATTATGAGTCTTTTCTTGTGACGTCGTGGACATACATAATTCCTGTCTAATGGGTGCTACACCCATCTGTTTTACCAGGATGAGAACCCTAGACAAGTTGTAGAGCGAGCTTGAATTATTTCGTGCAATGTAACACTTTTTTTTATTAGAGTAGGTATATGGTGCAAGAGAAAATCGTCGCATTGTTTGATGTAAACCACTTGGAAGACTTCCGGTCGATTCTTATTTCTATTTGAGAAATAACTACTTCTTGTTCTTGTGATAAAAGATTGCTTTAACATTAAACTTGTTTAGATATATTATAAATAAGCATATAACTTTATAAACATGAATACTCACATGACACAAAGGGACAACGAACCCACAAAGCACACCTATAAGCATGATCAAAATCATCGACCTCCATATCGCCAAGGAATAACATGTTTCCAAATGAAATCATGACGGGAGTCATAAAATCGCCCATAACCTTCATCTAACAGCATCTGTCAAAACCTTGTATCGTTAGTTTGACTGTCAGCAGTCACAGGTTTCTCGAAAATCATGATATTCTAAGGATGCACTTGAACAATAGATCGACTGTGACATTTAAACACAGTAGGTTATGTAAGAAAGGTAACCATCAAGAAAGGGAGAGTTTACTATCTGGAAACCAAAATCGTCATCAACGTGCATCTATCGAAACCTTGTGTTGTAAGATTGGAGGTCAACAGTCGTCAGCCATTTCGGAAATCATGATAATCCAAGAAAGCATTTGAACGACAGATCAACTCTGACATTCAAACACAGTAAATTTTAAAAATGTAACCATCAAGAAAGGGACAGTTCATGATCTGGAAATCGAAATCTTCACTGAATCATGTTTAGGACATGGTAATACGCCGTCCCTACTGGGTATTTTGTAAGTAGATATCGAGATGTGCAGATTAGTAGAAGAGCATTTAGTGACCTTTATGTTAGATTATCTCACATGGTCGCGTGTTGACTCACACACAGAAAGACGTTATCCACCTGTCATCTTAAAGTATTGCAGGAAGGTGTGTGTAATCAGTAATAAAAAACTTCATCAATTATTGTTTACTAGTGAAATTACAAAGGTATCAAACATGTTAATTTCTTATCATTCAATAATTTCCCAACAAAGCTTAACTGACTTGCCGTTGTGATTTTAGATTCTGAAAACACCACTATAGATGAAAAGCCACACATATGTTTCCACAGAAAAATACTGATATTATAGTTTGACGAAGATAATAGTATTTCAGGCAAATGTGATACAATAACATTGAAATAGGGTGTAGCGGTATTAGGAACGGGAGCGGGTATACTATATCAATAAAGGAAACATTGCTACAGTAGATAGAAAATGAACAACAAACAAGAAAAAATAGCTTACACTTGTATTGTTTATGGGACATGTACCCCAATGGAGCATTGGGGAAATTCAATAACATCTATTCCTTTCTATCAGTTTTTACAATATTTGTACGTTTGCACAACTCAATATTTTACCCAATTCTCTTTCTGTGGTGACTAGGATTTGGCATTGCGTTCCTCGTCATCAATTGGATTGTAGCAGCCTACACCATGCTGCACAAACCCTGGATCATCGAGTATATCATAGCCTCGTTTTCGGCCAAACTTCCGTGGACGTCATGTGACAATGAGTGGAACACTCCAGCCTGTGTCCAGTCTGTTCAGACAGCCACCAACGTCACGTTCATGTCCCCCTACAACTACACAACAGGCGCGGTAAGTAATTGGGGTAACATTATAGCATAACAATAGCTTTCTGTAGTTTGAACGGTGTCAGGTACAGCTGTTAAATGATATCCAACGATGGAGGATTGACAATTATAAGGTTATTTTATCATCGCAGTAAAAATCGATATAATGACATCAGTCTATTTGCCACATCGCCTACCGTCAACTGGTTTGAAGGTCCAATTTTCTCTTTCTTTCTGAAGAATTATTTTACCATTTTCCCCTCAATTCATCGCCAAATCCCTTTATAACGACAAAATTTCTTTTGATAAAATCATGGCAGTATAACGAAGTCCTGCTGTATTTCCATATCTTATCCCATTATGCGACCTCCATATCAATCCGAGGATCGAAGTATGCTACAACGGATATCCATATCAAATATTATATTCACCCTTTTCTGTTAAATGAAAAACATAAACAAATTGGTTTTTATCATTATTTCTTAGAAACTCATACCTCGAAAGTAGGAAGCGACTTACTTTTTGTTAGTAAGGAATGGAGAGTTCACTTGTCTAAATCAGCTAACTTTCAAGACCATCTTATTTTGAAATTATTTCAGTCGGTATGTCGTGGAGTTTAGTCAACATGTCGGCAATAATTACCTTCATCGTCTAACGGTAGAAAATCACAGTGAAATCGATTCATTATGCTTCCATGATTTACAACCATGCTTCAATATTTTCTTCGTTTCCTGGACTGTTTTGATGTTTGCTAATCAAATCATTAATTACAACATCAACGAATCAGCTTTATTAAGAAAACAGTTTGGATATTTCCGTTATAAATCGTAAGTATATATAGAGAAATCACAGGACAATAATACTTTGTAACACGTAATGAGACTATTTTATTATAATGAATGTTTTTAAGATGAAAAAATAAATAAATAATACATTAAATAAATAAATAAATGAATATAACGATAATTCTGTTCGACCTTCAGCCTATGTATTCTTCAACACTGGGTTCTATATCAGCTGGAGGCAATGCCACACTACTGACCCCAATGTCCTCGGTGGAGGAGTTCTGGAAGTAAGTTTCTCCTTATCTCGTATCGCCTGTCTGTAAATTTTGACAATTTTGAAGTTTGATCTTTTGATTTATATGTCTGGAGTTTCTGATATCGTGCTTATGACTTCAAGACATGTATGAATTCAAAGATATTGCATTGATGTGCATTCAACGCAAGGACATTCATACCTATGAACAGAAATACGATGTGCTGAATGCCTATGATTTCAGTGTCAATGGTTTTAAAGACGATGTTTTGAGTACCTCAGTGTCAATGGTTTTAGAGACGATATATTGAGTACCTTTGATCAGATTTCAGTGTCAATGGTTTTAAAGACGATGTATTGAGTACCTTTGATCAGATTTCATTGTCAATGGCTTTAAAGACGATGTATTGAGTACCTTTGATCAGATTTCAGTGTCAATGGTTTTAAAGACGATGTATAGAGTACCTTTGATCAGATTTCAGTGTCTATGGTTTTAAAGACGATGTATTGAGTACCTGTGATCAGATTTCATTGTCAATGGCTTTAAAGCCGATGTATTGAGTACCTTTGATCAGATTCCAGTGTCAATGGTTTTAAAGACGATGCATTGAGTACCTTTGATCAGATTCCAGTGTCAATGGTTTTAAAGACGATGTATTAAGTACCTTTGATCAGATTTCAGTGTCACTGGTTTTAAAGACGATGTATTGAGTACCTTCGATCAGATTTCAGTGTCAATGGTTTTAAAGACGACGTATTGAGTACCTTTGATCAGATTTAAGTGTCAATGGTTTTAAAGACGATGTACTGAGTACCTTTGATCAGATTTCATTGTCATTGGCTTTAAAGACGATGTATTGAGTACCTTCGATCAGATTTCAGTGTCAATGGTTTTAAAGACGATGCATTGAGTACCTTTGATCAGATTCCAGTGTCAATGGTTTTAAAGACGATGTTTTGAGTACCTCAGTGTCAATGGTTTTAGAGACGATATATTGAGTACCTTTGATCAGATTACATTGTCAATGGTTTTAAAGACGATATATTGAGTACCTCTGATCAGATTTCAATGTCAATGGTTTTAAAGACGATGTATAGAGTACCTTTGATCAGATTTCAGTGTCAATGGTTTTAAAGACGATATATTGAGTACCTTTGATCAGATTTCATTGTCAATGGTTTTAAAGACGATATATTGAGTACCTCTGATCAGATTTCAGTGTCAATGGTTTTAAAGACGATGTATTGAGTACCTTTGATCAGATTTCAGGGTCAATGGTTTTAAAGACGACGTATTGAGTACCTTTGATCCGATTTCAGTGTCAATGGTTTTAAATACGATATATTGAGTACCTTTGATCAGATTTCAGTGTCAATGGTTTTAAAGACAATGTATTGAGTACCTTTGATCAGTAATGCAATAGGTTGCACTTGTGAGTTCAGACACACTATGTGGATTGTCTATTATTTCGGAAACAAGTGTCTATGATGTTGTGGGTACCACTGAGTTCCTGGGCCCACTTGTATAAAACATCTCTACTCTTGAGATTTCCTCAAGTCTTAGATTTCCCATAGACAATACATTGCTTGAGATTTTCCTTAACTTTGAGATGTGTTATACAAGTGGGCCCTGTACATCTAACTTTGTTATATCCTCAGTTACAAGGTCCTAAATATCTCCTCCGGACTGGACGATATCGGGAGGCTGAACTGGAAATACCTACTGTACCTACTGGCGTGTCACGTGATCATCTGGTTGTCCTTAGTCAGGAGTATACAGTCCATTGGCAAGGTGACCTTGTGACCGGACAAAATTAAAGTAGTATTAACAAAAGAAGAATCAGTATCAGCTCGTGCTACATTTAGACTAGACTCAGTTTTCGGGCTTAAATATGTTTTAACTGTTTTTGACTATTGACTTCCTATTCTTGGTGTATATTTTTTGACATTATGTTATAAAGAAACGACTTTTTATAATGCATTTTTCTCAATTTCAATATCATATCACCGTCATACATAACACAAACAATGTATATCCTCAGATGATGTACGTCACAGCCATTGCGCCGGTGGTGCTCACATTCGTCATTTGGATCCGAGCTCTCACACTCCCGGGAGCCACAACTGGGATGTCCTATTTCATCACACCTGACTTTGAACGCCTGACTCACTCTGAGGTTTATACACAATTAGTTATCCATACAAATATACGTATTGGAGAATATGCAAAGTTTAAATAATACATTATTGACCTTATTTCTCTCTGAAACTCGATATCAAAGTTATCTATTAATCAGAATTCCATGTAACGTTATGTCATTTCAATGAATGATGTTGTTATAAAAGCGATTGAATGTATGCAACGTTCGTTTTAAAACAAAATTGTGTTGCAAAAGCAGGCATCTTGCTGATTCCATTGGTTCATAGGGAGGCTGTGTTTTTCTGTAATTGTTAAAATGGTAACGCCAGCTAGCCTAGTTGGGTAAGAAAAGGGCTAGTAAACTAAACGGATAATGGAAGGAGGAGAACTACTATCAATAATCTGTCTTTTTAATGATTCCTGACCAAAACTGTTAAGTGACTAATGGAGGCACGGTAGTCTAGTGGTAAGACGTCGGGCTTGTGACCGAAGGGTTGTAGGTTCGAGTCACGCAACGGCACTGTGTTGTGTCTTTGAGCAAGATACTGTAAATGAGTACTGCGTTAGGCAGTGCTAGAATTGTTGAATGCTAGCTGTAAGCGCCGAAATGGCAGCACTGACTGTATGCTCCCCAGGGAGTTAAGAAATATATTGGCTGGTAGGAAAGGCCCTATAACCACGGATAATGATTTGTGAACCTATTTTGAGACGACTTACGAACTAGGTTGTGATAAAGCGGTATATGAGAACCTCAAAATATTATTATTATTATTATTACTAATGGTGTCAGCCGATGAAAATTATCATGGTTCTATGAAGGTTCGCGTCACACACAACAGGCATTCCTGGTTTAGGTATAGGTGGTGTCGCATTTTGGAGAATATTTTAGAACGAATTGTGTTTCATACCACCATAAATGTTTTTTTTCCTAATTGTATATCAATTCTAATAACTACGTTCAAAAGAAAATGAGACAATATCATACCATCCTTCTATGTTGTCTCATTCGGTTTAAAATACATTTGAAATAATCTTAAACAAATGGCTAACCACCCATTATTACAGGAAAAACGCACTTTCAATGGTTAACAGTTCCATCAGGCGGCGAATGTCAACATTAGAAATTTCCGTTATAATATGAACTTGATGTCACGTCATGATTGGTCCCTATAATCTCAAACAGTTTGAGGGAAAGACCAGAACAGTTTTAAATTTGAAAATATTTTTAATGCGTCTTGCCGTTATTGGAGAAGGATTATACAATAGAAATGTGTGTACAACTATTTATACTGTTATCATGGTGGCACGTTATGGTGCAAATGACCCTCCCCCACAACCCCCCACACCCCCACCCCTACATCCCCGCTATCGAAGAGCAGTATTTTTGTGGAAAAACTACAACTATAGGAAATAGCAGCCTCAGCATCTGACTCGCCATTGACGATAAGTTATTTAGTAGAATATTTATCTTTGTAAATGTAATAAGTGGTATGTTGTTTAAGTAGTTCAGTCATGTGTGACATGTATCTATCAGGTGTGGATAGAGGCAGCCTTCATGGCTTTCTACACACTGGGACCGGCCTGGGGAGGACTGGCCATGTACGGAAGTCACAACAAGTTCACAGACAACTGCTTTCGGTAAGGGTAACTACAAAAAAAATCTGACAGCTTTTACCGATCCATTACAAAACTGCTTTCGTTAGTGTACAAGTATTTTGTACTGAGTTATTGTTTCATTGTGACAATTTTTCTCTGTTTTATATTGTGATAGGTAAATTTTCATTTTCCTGTCTTGAAAAAGGAGCAGATCGCCCTGAAAATTTGACAAATTATTTCGTCTGCACTGTCGTTATTACTTCTTTGCACTGATATACATTTACATATATATTGAAACAAAACGCAGCATTACATAGTTCAGTGTACAGTATAACCGTTAAAATACATACGGTATAAGTTTTGATATTTGAATATGTCTATAACTTCAATTATGCTGATATCAAATTTTTACAATGTTATTCTCTGTCCCTCGACTCCTAATTTGTATGCAACCCTTTGACTATTATGGTTTAGCTGCGGCGATTTGAATGTATTGCAGTGACGCCGTTATAAACACAGTGATGACTGTGATGATTTGTATGTATTACAGTGACACTATTATAAGCACAGTGATGACTGTTGATTTGTATGTATTACAGTGACGCTTTTATAAGTACAGTGATGACTGTGATTTGAATGTATTGCAGTGACGCCGTTATAAACACAGTGATGATTGTGATGATTTGTATGTATTACAGTGACACTATTATAAGTACAGTGATGACTGAGATGATTTGTATGTATTACAGTGACACTATTATAAGTACAGTGATGACTGAGATGATTTGTATGTATTACAGTGACTCTATTATAAACACAGTGATGACTGTGATGGTGTGTATGTATTACAGCGACGCTATTATAAGTACAGTGATGACCGTGATGATTTGTATGTATTACAGTGACACTATTATAAACACAGTGAGGACTGGGATGATTTGTATGTATTACAGTGACACTATAGTCATCACTGTATTACAATGACGCTATTATAAGTACAGTGATGACTGTGATTTGAATGTATTGCAGTGACGCCGTTATAAACACAGTGATGACTGTACTTATAATAGCGTCACTGCAATACATACAAATCATCACAGTCATCACTGTGATGATGTCTATGTATTACAGTGAGGTTGTTATAAGTACAGTGATGACTGTGATGATGTCTATGTATTACAGTGAGGTTGTTATAAGTACAGTGATGACTGTGATGATTTGTATGTATTACAGTGACGCTATTATTAGTACAGTGATGACTGTGATGCTTTGTATGTATTACAGTGACACTATTATAACTACAGTGATGACTGATGATTTGTATGTATTACAGTGACGCTATTATTAGTACAGTGATGACTGTGATGATGTC